CTGGGATGAAAGATCTGTACCACCATGCCCTGCGGGAGTATTTTATAATAGTAATAGTAATTCTACAATAGAGCCATAACACATCATTATGGTCCATTTCCAATATGAACTGTATTTTGAGCTCATCAGTGAATCAAGGATAAGCAGGAGGCACTCCACCCATCTTCCCTAACTAACAGTTAACATCTGATAGCCTGGATGCTTTGCACTTTCTTCTTAGGGTTGAAAAATTCAAGGTATCAGGAGAGGGGAAGGCTAGGGCAGATCTCAAGCCCTAGGAGGATGGGGACCTTGGGGTGAGGACTTAGACTAGTGGGAAAGATTGTAATTCCTTGGAGAACTAGCCCATGAAACAAAGAGAGCAGGACATTTTCATGATTAGGGACTATGGAAACCACTGTTTTCCCATCAGCCATTGCTGTCTTTTCTCTAGGTTATTATCCAAACTTTGCAAGGTTGAAAAATGAGCAGCTTCGGCTTTGGGCTTTGCTACTCTGAGTCTTTAGTACCCATGTGGTGAAATGAGGGTCACTGAGCTGAAACATGCTGGAGGTTACTTAGGTAGCTTGTTCTACAGAGAGTTGCCAAGGGTTTCTCTCAAGGTTACCTTGTTAGATGCCCTCAGAGATGAATGAACAAACATATCCCAACTTCCATCTTAGAATTCTGACAGGTAACATCAGAGGTGGTTTGGTTTCCTGCAGCTACTTTTTTGCCAGGTTTCTTGTTGTAGCTTGCTTTAAAATGTCTCTTGTGATAGTCATAACTTTCATGTAGATGTAGCCAAAAAAAAAAAAAAGGAAAAAAAAAAAAAAGCAGGTTTCGGGGAAACTCTTTCGAGTTGTAATTGCTTTGATAACTTGCTACTCAAGTTTAAAGAACTGATTTTGCCCAACACTTCTGAAAGCAATATCAGAACATTTAATTTTAAGTATTTACATTGAAAAATTACAGTCAGTCTTGTTAAGAACTTGTGTTCAATTCTTGGCATCCACATGGCAGCTCACAATTGTCTGTAATTCCAGTTCCAGGGGATCTGACACCTTCACACAGATACACATGTAGGCAAAACGGCAGTGCACATTAAAAAAAAAAAAAGAAAGAAAGGAAGAAAAGAAAAACTATAACCTCTTCCTAGGAGATGTTAAGATACCTTTGTTGAAAGCTAAAGCATAAGGTTGACCACAGGATTTTTATCTATCTATCTTCTATCTATCTATCTATCTATCTATTATTTATTTATGTATTTTTCGAGACATGGTTTCTCTGTATTGTTTTGGAGCCTGTCCTGGAACTAGCTCTGTAGACCAGGCTGGCCTCGAACTCACAGACATCTGAGTTCTGGGATCAAAGGCGTGTGCCACCACTGCCCAGTGACTATGGGATCTTTAAGGTTTCTGGTATTTAGCCCTTTTCACTATCCTCATTGTCACTTTTACTTTCTTTTCAGAGTCCTGTGTTACAGTACTTGTTTTTCTTAGCCCAGATTCCCATCGCCATGTCACCATTAAGTAACAACAGCCTGTTTCTCGAATATGCAAAAAATCCTTTCTTGGATTTCCTCCAGAAGGGCCTGATGATCTCACTGTCAACCGATGACCCCATGCAATTCCACTTCACCAAGGTACACACAGAGGCTTGAGCAATACAAGTGTGTTTTGCTGAGCCATCATTCCCCACCCAGAAACTGAGAGTCAAACCAAGGCGCTCCTTTATCCTCTAAATTTATGTAGGATGTGCATTGTTTCTTTTACTAATGCACTCCTCTCCTTATTTACATAAATAACTACAGGAGCCCCTGATGGAGGAATATGCCATTGCTGCCCAGGTCTTCAAGCTCAGCACCTGTGACATGTGTGAAGTGGCAAGGAACAGTGTTGTGCAGTGTGGAATTTCTCACGAGGTAGACTTGACTGTGGCTGATTGCCCTTCTGAGTATTGGGTCTCACAATCTAAACATTGAAAAATTAGTGGAGTGAGGAAATACAGGCAGAGAAGCTGTTGCACAAACCACAGACAGTTGCTACGGCTAGGGACTAGGAAAGACTGGGGCTGGGGATGTATCTCAGTGGTAGGGCACCAGCCTGTGAGGCTCTGATATGAATCCCCATGACTCCCCCACTGAGTTCTATTCTCTGGCCATGTCTCTCAGGAAATAATATATACATTTGATTTCTCAGGAAACATGCATACAAGGCGCTAAATGAATGGGTCACAGTTTTTCCTTTTGTTTATGAGTAACGTGAAGATTGTGGTAGAGGAGGCAATCACTGTCTATCCCAGTATGAAAAGAGACATTGAGTATTCTCCTCTCATTGTCTTACAGGAAAAAGCAAAGTTTCTGGGCAAAAATTACCTTGAGGAAGGCCCTGTTGGAAATGATATCCGGAGGACAAATGTTGCTCAAATTCGCATGGCCTATCGTTATGAAACTTGGTGTTATGAACTCAATTTAATTGCTGAGGGTCTTAAACCAACAGAATAAATAAACTGAAGTAAATAAACTGAATAACCCTGAGTGGGATTTTCATTGAGAGTTTGAATCCTATAGTACTAATTATTGAGTCCCTACTCTTAAAATAATCCAAGCTTTGTATTAAGTGCTTCACTTATATTTCATTTACTCAGTTCCTTTCACACCTTTGACTCCAGTGCCTACATGACTTCCAGGCAGGACAGTTATCAGAGGTAGCCAAGGACTCAATGCTGAGAGAAGATGGGCTTTCAGAACAGTTAAGGCACCTGGATCCATTTAAAAGTGTTTTGATTTTGTTTTTGCTTTTCAAAGCTTAAGTCAATAGGGGCTTTCTAAGGCAAGGTCAGACCAGTTATGTGAAAGTCTAGAAAATAGGCATTTGTGAATAGTCCTGAAGGAAGATTTATCCTAGCAGGGAATTCTTAGCTTGCTGAAACAGGAGACCTGTGGGACTTGTTAGGAATATACCTGCTAAGTAGAGTGTCTCAGACCTTCAGTCCCAGCATTCAGGAGGCAGAGGCAGGCAGATCTCTGTGAGTTCAAACAAGCCTGGCCTACATAGTGAATTTCAGGAGAGCCAAAGCCACATAGTGAGGCTCTGTCTACAGAGAGAGAGAGACAGAGAGAGAGAGAGAGACAGAGAGACAGAGAGACAGAGAGACAGAGACAGAGACAGAGACAGGTACTTCAGGTCAGGAGATGCTCCAATCACCCAGATTACATTTGTTCACACACAGATGTGTTGCCATCTGGTGGTTAAGTTTATATTTCACTCAGTTTATTTTAAAAAGTGGTTATAGAGCAAATGTAAACTATCAGAAACCATCTTAGATACCAAAAGCAGAAAGATTATTTTCATTCTGTTTTCAAGTTGTTCACCCTTGAGGCTATAAGATATGTGAAAAAGAGAACTGCTCAAGACATCTCAGGATGCAGTGAGAGCAAATTCCTGGTGTTTCTGCACAGGTAGCCGTGAGCTTAGGTGTGTTCTTTAGGACATGTTTGTACTAGCTGTGGTGTGAAACTCCTCTTCCTGGTTTCTGAAGTTAAAAATTCTGTTTGATGAGTATTTATTTGTCAAGAACCTGGTTTTTATGTTGGCTTCCTAGTCACCAAAATAACACAAATCATTAAATATTATTCTCAGACTTAAACAGTAGCATGACACTTAGTATTAGATCTAGCTCCATCTTACCCATGAGAGGGCAGTAGAATAAACACTCGAATTAATTTATTCCACTCATCTTGGAATCCCAGTTTCCTTCATTCTGCTAGAGAATCTTCCTGGATGCAAAGTTCAAAACATAAGTTTTAAAAACATGGTTTTAGTCCCAAATTTCATCTTGTACAACTTATCTGGGATACTTTCCAAATAGATTAGAAGCCGGTTGTGATGGCTCATGCCTATGCTGGCACTCTGGAAGAAGGGGTAGGAGAATAAGAAGTTTGAGGCAAGCCAGCCTGGGCTACATTGTGAGACCCTGTCTATAAAAAATAATCACACACACACACACACACACACACACACACACACACACACACACACACACCATGCACATACACACAAACAAGGCACACACTTTAGGTAAGGGAGCAATGGCGTTCATAAAGACCAGTGTCTACAATTTATTCCAATCAATTTATTTCCTCACTAGAGCTTTTCTTTTTCTTTTTCTTTTTTTATCTTTTTTTAAGGAACTGTCATTACTTCCCCCTCACCATAGAAAGTAATCCTTTTATTGTCCCTACCTCATGGCTTCACAACGGATTGGGACATACTGCCTTTTTTTTGTCTTGGTTAAATTAGCTGGTGACAGTCATCTGTGATGTGTAATCAAACACCTCTCTGTGGCAGTCTTCTATTTTGGTACCTCTGTGTGAACAAGCGAGGGAAACTTGGTTACCAGACACAAGTGGGGTGGGTGGGGTGGAGTGGGGTGGGGCGGTTAAACTAGGTTCCACTCATCCCAGTCTCTAAGAGTGAAACTGGGCTACTCCTGCAGCAGGCACAGAGCCATGTGCATACTTGAGCAAGATCGTGTTGCAGGCGGGAGCGCTTAGCGTGAGTCTCAACCGGGTGTGGCGACCGGGTCGGCACCTGGAGTGGGCATCAAAGGCATCCGGCTCGGGATTCCAAACGTGGGGCCAGGTGCGTTATTGGCATCTCTCTACTAGCTAACATTCCCAAGGAATGTTTGTTCCCCGAACTGCGTTATGGTTTTCATAAAGGAGGTGCTGTTTGGCTCCTGATTCAACTAGGCTCTCCCTCCGGGTGCGGATTCGTCGCGTGGGGTCGTTCCGACAGCAGATGCGGAAATAGACAGGCCTGGGCCGAGGTCGCAGCGTGGAACCAACATGCTCGCTGGCTCACCAGAGCTGGGGGCGGAGAGTGGCCCAGGCGTGGGTTCTGGGCTGTGCGAAGAGACCTGGGAGGGGCGGAGCCTACTGGTTGGGCTTGGGGGCGTGACCAGGCCGAGAGGGGCGTGTCTCGGGGGTGGGGACAGCGGACCTGCGGGGGCGGGACGAAGAGGCCAGAGCTGGAGCCTCAAGGCCGCAGACTGCGAGTCTCCCATCCCTGCGGGAGGCGGCGTGGCGGGCGGCCCAGGCAGGTAGGCGACGGGATGTGGCCGGGCAGTGTGGCAGTGGGGTTTGGGTCGCTCAGCTGTTGCCGCCGCCCCTGGGGCGTCCCGCGTGTCCGTGGTCGGCCGGGAGCTGGGCACTTCGGGTCAAGGGAAGGCGGGTGTTAGCACGCGTGCGAGCCGCAGGCGCGGTCGGGGGAGCGGGCGGAGGAGTCCGGGTGTTCGCCGCCGGGAGGAAACGCGCCTTTCAGGCGGTCTTGAACTTGGACGTGCCGGGACAGGGCACTTCAAACAGCGGTAAAGCCAGTATGCGCGCAGTTTGCCTCCTAACAGCCTGGCAAGCTCAGTAGTGGAAGTCGTCAAGTAGTTTTTTTTTTTTTTTTTAAGTTAAAAATTCAAGAGTGGAACTGGAAGTACGACTGTGGAGTAACCAGGAGAGAAGATGATGATTTGATTATGAGTCAAAAAGCTCCGCTCTGGAGCTCAGACCCACAAACAAAACGTCACACCTCTGCCAGGGTAACTCTTCCTAGCTTGTTTCCCCTAAGTGTAAAACTGGGACGCCCATGGGTGTTCTCACGGTCAAAGGAGAGGAGTGACAGCGTTCTGCAAATGTCAGGCATTGTTGTTTGATACACATGCTCCCTGGAGCATGTATACTCTGTACAACTACTAAATACCTAGCACACAGTAGGTGCCCTGTAAACCTTTATTTCAAAGCTACTGGTTCGCCTAAATATGTTAAAGTCCTAACTTCTCTCTACTATGTGAATAAGTTATTTAAGCTTCTTTTCCACACAATCACCATTGTTTGAAGAGCGGATCTATTCTTAACTGAGTCATGAACTTTTCTAAAATAGCATACTATCTGTATACTGTTGCGGAATCATTTGCCATGAAGTTTGTACCAATTAGAAAATCTTTTACTTGGTCTTCGATATCTGACTAAGTGAACTGAGTGTATTGCTTCAAAGCAAGACTTTGTCATTTATTTTTGTAAATTGAGGGCTGCTTTATAGGAAGATGTGAGTCCTCTAAAACAGTTACTATGTGGCTGTGGGTTTCATACAGGTTTTATTATAGACGTTTGTGTCCTTTACTTGTGGGTTGTGTTAAGAATTTTAGGGGGGAGACAGGAAATTAAAAAAGAATAGCAATCTGTAACCAGAAGGTTTCTACTAGGGATGCTTAAGGGTGATCTGGAGTCATTTCAAAGGCAGAAACCAGGAACTGTAGTAATTGTGTCGCATGGCCTTTCATTAGCCTGTTGAATGTGGCAATAGACTTTTTTTAGATGCAGAAATATCAGTGTTTTTGATTGAGAGCAGTAGGCAGTCTCTTTCCTTTTCTTAATTAAAATTTTAAATTAGGGATGTGGATGTAGCTGTTGGTGGTATATTTGCCTACCATGCACAGAGTCCTGGGTTCAATCTCAGTATTTCCTAAACTGGGCGTGGTGGTTCACACCTGCCACCCCAGCATAAGAGAGGGACAAGCTGGAGTTCAGAAGTTCCAGATCACTCCTGACTATATAGTTTGAGGCCAGCCTGAGGTACATGTGACTCCATAACAAAGTGAAACAAAACAGAGCCAAAAATTCCTCATATTACAGGACTAGAGAGATGACTTGGGGCGTAAGGACACCTGCTGCCAAGTCTGAAGACCTGAGTTCAATCCCTGGGACCTGTAGAAGGAGAGACCCAGCTCACATTTGACCTCCAAATGTGTCCCAACACATTGCCTCCCCCCTACAAATTAATAAATCTAATAAAATATATTTATTATGTGTGTGGGCACACAGGTCATACACACAGAGTGCATGTATGGAGGTCAGAAGACAATTTGTGATCTTAACTTTCTCCTTCCATCCTTTGGATTCTGGGGATTGAATTTAGGCTCAGTGGCAAGTACTTCCCTTACCTGCTGAGCTATTTTATTGGCTCTTTTCTCTTTCTTTGTAGGATGAAACTACACAAGTACTCTACCATTGAGCCACACACCCAGCCCCAGCCGGGAATCATTACTTTTAAATGATCTGTAGCGATCTCTTTGTTGAAGGCAAGGATTTTAAAGTACTGAATATCACAATGGAATTAAGTGGAGGACTGGAAGGGAGATTACTAGTAAATAACTTTGTGCTCTGTCAAGAGTTTTATTTGTGACGCTGGAGAAAAGACCCAGTGGTTAAGAGCACTTGCTGCTCTTCCAGAAGACTTGAATTCAATCCCCAGCACCCAAGTCTGGTAGTTTACAACTGCCTGTAACTCCAGCATCACGGGATCTGATATACTCTTTTGCCTTCCAAGGACAACTGCATATATGCAACATGTGCTCACATAGACATATATACATACATGTAAATAAAAGCAAATCTTTATCCTAGTGTAATGGTGTGTGCCTTTAATCTCATCACATGGGAGGCAGAGGCAAGTGTGGGTCTCTATGAGTTCAAGGACAACATGGCCAACATAGTGAGTTTCAGGCTAACCAGGCTATATGGTGAGACCCCGTTTGTTTTTGTTTTTTTTTTTTAAAAAAACAACTTAGAGAAAAAGTTTTATTTAAATATTTTCAACAATTTAGTGGGAGAATAGGTGGGTTTTGTTTTGTTTTTGTTTTTTGTGTTTTTTTTTGAGACAGGGTTTCTCTGTGGCTTTGGAGCCTATCCTGGAACTAGCTCTTGTAGACCATGCTAATCTCAAACTTACAAAGATTCGCCTGCCTCTACCTCCCAAGTGCTAGGATCAAAGGTGTGTGCCACCACTGCCCGGCTGAGAATAGGTGTTTTGAAACTTTTTTTTTTGAGACAGGCTCTTGCTATATAACCCACCTTGGCCTTTAACTCACTATGTAGCCCAGACTAGTCTCAAACATGCAGTAATTCTATCTAGCTCCAAGGGCTACGATTGTGGTGTTTGTCACTATGCTTGCTTAAAGACCAACTTTTTAAAGTTTTTAAAACTATTTTTAAAAACCAACTTGAAACATGTACTGCATAATGAAGTCACTGAAAATTTATTTGTTGACTTTACAGGTCTAACTAACCCCTTATATTGGTCCTACTTATTGAGCAACTATCTTAAGGCATAGTTTAGAACCTACATTGTAGGTATGCTTGGGAAGGATGCACTCCTACCTAGGAGAGTATGTGCTCCTTCTACTGAGTGGGCTAAATAAGTACTGAAAAGCTATTTGGAAAGCTCAGTGCAGGTGGTGTCCTGAATTCATTTCACATTTTAGCCTTTTAGTCCTCAAAAAAGGCACCTCTGAGGGGCACTGTCATCACTGAGAGGCATAGAGAAACTGAGTAACTTGCCTGCCACCAGTTCAAGTAGCAGAGGTGTCAGCCTGGCAGGCTGACATAACACTGAGCTGAGCTCAGCTCTCAATCTCTGCTTTTTATTGAGTTTCAAATTCTGTAAGACACAGGGAAATCAACAGGTATTTAAAAGACAGAGTTTTTATGAATTTCAAATCAGACACACACACACACACACACACACACACACACACACACACGAGAGGAGGAGGCGGAGGGAGAGGAGGAGGAGGAGGAGGAGGAGGAGGAGGAGGAGGAGGAGGAGGAGAAGGAGGGTCAGACAGAAAAACTGGTATTACAAGATACAGAGGCATGTCCAAGCTACAATTTAATTATACTTTGTATGTAAAACTTTTTTTTTTTTTTTTGCTGGTGAATGACATGGGATTCTTCTTGTTTTAAAACTCCCAGCCACTTAGGGCATTATCCTAGCAATATAAGATGTGTCTATTTTTTAATAAAAAGTTTAAAATACCTGTTGTCAAACCATGACTTAAATGTTAGATACAGAGAAGAGATGTTATGGTGGATATACCTGTAGTCCCAGCACTTGGTTGACTAAGGCAGGAGGCCATGAAATTTTGTAGATATGGTTGGACTAAGACAGGAAATCTGTCCCCAAACAAAACAATAAACAAATAAAATAAAGCCACTAACAGAGTTTAATGGAAACAATGATGAGAAACAATTATTCTATTTGTGATAGGGAGGAGGGCTGTAGAAAATGTGGAATCAAACACCACATTTGAATTTGATTTTGAAGGATGACTGGGAGTTTGCCAAGCTGTGGGAAGGTATGAATGAAAGCAGTAACCTGTGTGACTCTATGGCAAGTTTGAGAAATATGTTCTAGTTGCTAAAGTCAGAGGTACAGAGGTGGGTGGTTGAACTAAAAATAATCTAGAAAAAGAAAATTGCAGAGCACGGTTGTTTGTTACATTAGATCACTGCAATTGCTAGGTAAGCGTGGGGTTAGGTCCCCTGACTTGGAATAAAGAAATGAGTGATTACATTCAGTTCGACAAAATCTTTCACTGTAGAATACGGTATTTTGAATACTTTGAAGTGGCATGTGTTTTTAACAAATACCCTGTGTAAAGCTATGATTTAGGGGGAACATGAGTCTATTGACACCAGTTATTGGAGGAATCTGTGTGCGTAAGGACTTTGCAACTGGATCTAGAGAGATGGAGAGCCAGAGAAGGGTTGGAAGTAATTAGACAAGATTACACAGTGACGGTTCTGTGTGGTGGCTGGATTGAATGAAGGCAGGCAAAGGGCAGGGAAGTAAGTTAGGAGGTTGATAAGATAGATAGGCCAAGTTTGCCATTGAAGTTACTCTAGATGAGGATCTAGAGTAAAAAATAACACCAAGAAGAGGAGAGGGCAGCTGTGAAGCTAGGGGATTGGGAGTGCTCAAGAATCCATTGGCTGCAGAGGAGCAGCAGAGGTAGTAACTTGGCTTCTTAGCTTGGAAAACTCACAAATAGTCTGGCTTTATTATTTTTTATGTGATGGGACGATAACTGTCTCCGTTCTGAACCTGTTGGGTTTGAATGTCTGTAGAGCAAGGAGATGCAGATGTCAGGTAGGTTCACCCAGGATGATGAGAGTGGTGGGTGACGTGGGTCTCAGATAACCAGCTGAGGTTCACACCACTGCACAGACTCACTCAGGAAGAGATCCTGTTAATTGTTGTCATAAATCATTC